GAGGCACAAAAGCAGAGAGCTCTAACATCTATGTTAATGGATGACAAGTGCTAACATGACTTCTAATGTGAATGCCTATAAAATAAAACTGATATTTCTGTAAACTTTCTATGACACCTTTTCCCTCATAAGGTCTCCCTAAAGACTGTGCTTTTTAATATTATCTTTATCATCAATTTTTCAGAATTGGAATCACTGATGCAGCCACTTGATGAATATAGCAAATCTATCCAAAATCGTGTAACAGCTTCAACAGATAGTTTTCTTTGTTTAGAAAGTGTTCACTTTAACTACTCAACGCTTGCCATTATGTGCTGGGACATGCTAATCACACAGTATTTTTTCCATTCTCTGATTGGAAGTCTTTAAGCTATTTCAAGGAAGATAAATGTATGATTATGCACATCTTTGAATATTTCTCAGATTAAAAGTTACTCTTAACAATAACTGTATATATTCAATGATTCAAAAACATATCTATAAGCATCTACTATCTGATTATTCACAACAATTGATGATGTGATTTCCTCATGTACATGAACTAAAAGCTGGCACAAAGATATCCAAAAATTTATTTTTGTTATTACTCAACGGATTTTAAAAAAAATATTTCTCAACAGAAGAGTGAATGTCATTAGAAAACAAATATATATATGACTTATCATACTTAATAAATTGCCATATTTTAATCGTAAAAAAAAAATAGAAAAAAAAAAAAGAAAAAGAAAAAAAAATTAAATAAGGAAAAGCAAACAAAAGGTATGAGACAACTTTCCTGGCAATATTAACGTATCAATTTATCACCTGTGTAAATTGGCACAAATCACATTAGGTCAACAGAACAAAACCAGTTTCAGAGATCTGAGACTTTCTTAGAAAAATAATGCTTAGACATTTTACTTACTCACAACATTAGTGTACTTTTTTTTTTTTTTTTTATATATAGAAATAGGGAAAGAGAGAGAATTTTAGACAAGGCTTTTAAAGCTTTTGTTTGTTTTTTCTCCTTTAAAAAAAAAATGCCTAAAATAGTCATCATCTAATTTTCCCCCCTTATTAAACAATATAAGGAAGGTCTAACTCTACATGTCAAAATTCTTCCTTTAAAATATTATGCAGCACAGCAAGACAGTCTCCATTAAGGCTTGTGGTATGTCGGTTTATTAAAAATATATATATATTAATTTTGTTATTAGTCATAGTGGCTTGGAAAATTCACTTAATTCTTCAGACAGTACAGAAGTCAGTGGACCTCAACTGTCCTTAATTACTTTCTCTGAATATGATCTCTTCACAGTGGGTCTGAAGCCAATATAAGTCCATTGTCTTTAATACTTCTGGTCTGAGATATAGACATCATTATTCTCCCCATTCTTTCTTCTGCCTCTCCAGATCAAGAGAAAATTAAATATGCTGTTTACTAGCCCACTAGACTGTGCAATATTGGCCCATTTCCATTACTGGCTGAATCAGGTCATGAGATCTGTATGTCTGAATTCAAGAGGGGTTTGTGTTGGCATCTGGTCTCAGACTCCATGCGGTAAAGATACAGCTATAGACAAAACTTAATTTTAAAGAGATAAGAGCTCCCTCTTAAGAAAAAAAAAAAAAAAAAATCATTGGAGTGAATAGGATACTTTCACTCAAATAAATTAGTCATTAAACATAATGTTGCTGAATTAAATCATTAAATCTATTTCTTTCTCTTCCTGAGCCTTCCACAGTAACAGACTAGCTTTCTGCAATTTTAAGGTGGGGTGGGATGGAATTACGTTTTTTCTTTTTAAAAATATTGTACTTACAACAGGAGCAGCTTTGAGAGCCGCACGCACACACACTCACACTCCCGCTCTCTGTTAGGCTTCATTTGATAGCTATGAACTGTGGATAAAGAATAAATATGGCTTTTCAGTGCCCTAGGACTCTCACCTGACTTATTTATGTCTGACCTGGTAGAACACCACTGACCTTGGAAAGTTTAATTGAGGCTGGGATTATATGGCACTGCTTGAGGCCACCTGAATTTAGAGGGTGTGACACACTTTCTCGCTCTTACTGACTCTCTCATGTCTGCTAGGGGATGCACACGTATGTGTGTGCATTTCTGTACCCTAAATTGAGCCTAGCAGTGGTGAAATACCTTGTTGTAAGCCTACAGCATGTGGTATTGTAAGGGAAAAAGATTACTATTGTCAGGCAGACAGCATGAATGTGTATGTTGGGGGGGGTTGTTTGTTTTCTTTTCCCAGTACATTTTCTCCAAGATTTGATTTTTACTGTTGACTCTTAACTTTTTATGGACCTGATTTTGCCTAAGAACTGAGAGTTTAAAGAGTGGAGGAGAAAGAATTATACCAACATGGTTTATCTGGACCCACTCATATATATTGTGCTTAACATCCTTTAATTAAATTTAATTGAAGTGTATGATGAACATTGATCATTTTCACTCCTTTTTGTTTTCAATGAAGTTATACATACTTAAACTCCCCACATCTCAGTTAAACGTAAAAAATGTAAAGGAGGGGAAAAAGAGCGGGGGAAGCGGAGGAAAAAGATCCATAAGACTGAAAGGTGAAATAAAATGAAATGGCATAGATATCTGCCAGCCAAAGAGTACTATCTTCCTACTGGAGATTGTCCCTAGATGGATATAAACAGCTCTCATCTGGTTTTCTTCAAGGCTGAGGCCAACAAATATGCCATATTATGCACGGAGTCCTTTTATGGCACAGACTATTGTCCACTGGAGACAGAGCAGACACTGCTAAGCAAACCTCACCTACAGCCACAGGCAAGCATCAAGCCCAAAGGGGATTGCTCTCCCGTCAAAAACACGCTCCTTTTTCCAGCCTCAAAAATATATATTTTCCCTGTCACTCAAAGTTCAGCCCTGCCAAAAAGCCCAAGAAATACTCAGGCTTGAGCCATACAGGTAGATGAGAACATTCATCAGGAAAAGTTAAAATATTCCAGGATGAAAACAACCTACAGAAATTTCTTCAGAAATAAAACAAGTCTGTGATGATTTCAAGACCAAAATTATCCATTCTTTGCCTTATTTCTAATGCTGCCTGGACTGAAACTGTGACCGTTTTCTGTTTGTAGGTATCATAGGAAATGAAATGAGGAGAGGGTTGCTGTTAAGAGCAGTCTCAATTCCCCTATCTCTCTCCAACAGGCTATGCCATGAATCAGGATATATTTTATTATTTTTATAGTCCTACACAGTGATGTAACACTTACCCAAGTCCCTTGCAAGGTGATGCCGGGATCTAGATGCAGTCAAATCCTGGACAAGCTGGCAATTAAATGTATTGTTTGAAATTCATGGCCCAATTCTCTGCCACTATACCACTAAATTGACTTTGTTCCACCTAAATTGCCAGTTAGGGATAATTGCATCAGCACAGGAAAGCATCTAAGATGGGTGAAGAAAGCACAATAGTAAAGCTATCTGCAGCTGTCTCTCATCATTGGTGACATCCTACAGACTTAGGCAAACTATATTTTTAGAAGTCTGTGGTGAATGGAAGAGATTTTAGAATGAATAACAGATCTCAAGAGAGAATTCTGCTCTTTCTCTCTCTCCTTTTTTTCTTTTTTTTTAAGCAATTCCTCTCTTCCCTTTTGGTGAAGTATCAGCCTAAGAAGCAGACTTCCCCAACAGCCAAGAATAACAGCTACAGTCTATGTAGCTGAACCATTTCAAGAGAGCTGCACTATGTTCCACAAACTAATTCAATACGCCGCACTATTACCATCGGCTGAAAGCCTCACACTGAACATCTGGAAAACTGAATACTCACCCAAACCCAAATATCAATGATATTGATCATAGTAATATTTATACTTATTTTCAGTCAATTTCCATTCAATTCACCAGCTACCAACCTTCATCATCGTCTCAGACTCACTGCTCAAGATTTCAGAATTCAGTGACTTTTGCTAATACTACTGCTAAGTCCATAAGCGAGCCTGTAAAGCTGTCCCGCAAGAGTACAATTAAGTCTATAAATTAAAAGCACATATATTGAAAAAGTCTCATCATTAATCTGGACCGGCCAGAACTTCGATATAAGCTGACCTGCATTTATTGGTTCTAATGGGAATGGAAAAACAGCATGAATACAAGTACACTTCTGAAACACTAGAGACAATAACAAAAAAGAAAAAAAAAAAGCTACGGAAAAAAAAAGGAATTTTTCTGTGATCCTTATTTATTACATTTTTAATAGAAAGTCAGTGGAGGTCTTATCTGATGTCATTTGGTTTAGGTTCCATGGTATTTTTTGTATTTGACCAAATTCCCTTATCTTCTCATTGCTTGTGTTCTGCTCTGCCAGCATCCAACAAACTGATATACTTATCTTCAATTTTATAATAAAGTTTTAGCTTCCACAGGATAAAAAAGAAATAGGGAGAGAGGGGAAAGGAAAATTGCATCTAAGATACTAAACATATCAGGCATGTGTGACTGTCAAGGAATCCAGCAGTTAACCTTGTTCTTACTATAGAAACTTAAATAGTTGAAAGACATTTGACTCAGGCTCATGACTATTTTTCTTTTATTTAAGTTCTTAGTTATTCCCATTTATATGGTCAAATTAAGATAACTATTATGATCTTAGGCATTACCCAGTGAATATTTTGAAGCAAGGTTGGTGATCATTACTTTTCTGTGATTGCAGTTAATAACTAAAGGTGAAAAGATAATTAGAAGCACCAATTCCTGAGGCAGGGAATATAAACCAAGGGCTAATGAGTAAGTTACTGTGTAAGTGTCCATTCCTCTTTGGAGCTTTATTTCCTGCTCTATCATGCCATTTTTTACCCTCTCCTACTTCTCAATGTTTCATATTTGCTATATCACCTCAAGATTCATTCTCTTCATAGCTCTACATAGAGTGACCTGGAAATCACTACAAAAACCTGTCTCCTCTCCACGTTTAATCTATTTGTTAATTTCTTCTGCTGATCTCTTGTTAAACCTGATTTACCTTTGTTTAGCATTAGCATGTCCTCCCTGGGTTTTGCTCCTTCTTCAGAGGTCCTATCTTAGATAGTCTCTTTCTTCTTCATAGAAACCAAAGCCTGCAGAGAAAACAAATTTCCATCAATTACCCATTTGCTCGTCTAATTTATAACTGAGTTTCATATGATCAGACTTGAGGATAAAGGCAAACATTTTTGATGTCTTTTGCTATAGTTAAGCAAAACAAAGATGCAGAAACCAAAGATGACACACTAAAGAGATAGAACAGAACAGAGAATGAGAAATAATTCAAGAGTCAGCTCCCCAGCTGAAATAAATGTGTCCCATCAGCCTAAGTGGAGCAACACCAATTTAAAGCATATGAGAATCTGGCACAAACTTACCTTTATTTTACTTTGATTAAAAACAAACAAAAAATACCATCAATAAAACAATGAGCATGGACATAGTACATCAAGCTGGGCTGGGTCTGAAAAAGGAGAGCTAACTGGCTTATTATCTAGATGTTATACTTTGGCAAAATGTGACAACTATACCTTTTCATTTCCCCAGTGGCCTCCAGGAGACGTAAGATTTAGTATCTTATAGAACATTTTAAGCTTGAGAAACTTCTTCTTATGGTGTCTTATGAATCCTGGAGGCTGTGAAAACGATTACAGTGCTTTATATTCACTTCTCTCAGCTTGCAAGAGATATGCTAGTGGACTGATACCAAAGTCTCCTCCTTGTCACTGATCTGCAGAAGTGGTACGTCGGAAACTACAAGCCCTTCCCTTTCAAGTCACAAAATGAGCTGTTTGCAACAACAGCTCCACATTCTTTCACAGCCCTGCCAAGTTCCAGGCCAAAAGTGTCAGCATTGCCACGGTTTCTGATCTTGTGCAGCCATCAGTTTAAAATGTGCAATTTCCATGCACATTTATTCTGGGCTCAGTGCAATTTCGATCCCCAGGACAGCCAAGGCATGGTGAGATCAAGTCTGCTTGCTCTGTTTTGAAGTCAGGTTGACTGGAAAATAAGAAATAAAAAAGAGAAAATAATAAAATAGGAGAAAAAAAAAAAAAAAAGTACTTGGATATTTGACCATCTTTCCCTTTTCCCCACCTGACAGGATCTCATAAAATCCATTGGAATATTTTGTTGTGGGGTAGCGGATGAAAGAACAAGCTGCCATGTCATGCCTCTTGAAAGGTTTATATTGCTTGCACATCATTCAGCTGCCCTCAGAGGAAAGTCTATGTGATTTTTGGTATCTGAGTGAGCACGCAATGAAAACAGATTCAGATCTCCCCAAGGTTCCACAGTTGTAGGTCCACACAGGAGACAATTTTCTGTGAGTCATCCAAGCAAGGGGTGTCGTGGCTCTGCTAGGCACATTTGTTCTCTATATATATTTCTCAGTTTCAGCTAACAAAGGGAATAATAACAGGTACCTCTTGAAACCGTGTTTTCTAAAGGCTCACCTGGTGAATCATTCAGCCTAGTGAATCATTCTCTGGCCAAAATGAGGTGGTTTGGGCAATTTAACTGACCTGCCCCTAACTGATCTGCAAGTATTACGACGATGCTGATTTTGTCAAGTCTGAGGGCCTGAAGTATTTATATTCCCTGACATGATATTTTACAAAATCATGGACTTCTGGGATGCAGAAACACCACCAGATGCCCTTGGTCAGTGCAGTGAACCACTGTTCTTTCCAGGATTCATAAAGCAACACAAGACTGGAGAGAGCTAGACCCACATTAGCTGCTGACTTAATCAGTTTCTGAGACATCTTGTATCCTACAGTGGAGACAAAATGGGGCTGTCTGTCCCTACATAACAAAATCTCCACAGGACTAATTACCACTGCCTACTCTTAACTCCAAAAATCCCTCCTCCATAAATTGGAAGTTTCATGTTTTGCACATGTGGGAAAATTTACTTCAGGGAGGTGTCCTATGCTGTGTGCCTCAAGGACATTGGAGTGTTCATCAGTCTCTTAGGCTGAGAATTTCCTTTTTTCAGGAAGCAACAGGTGGTTGCAAAACACGTTGAACTGAAAAAAAACACACAAGAAACACAATACTGTAGAAGTATTAAAAAATCTAGAATAAATCCTGGACTATAAGGCTATGAGCTGCTCTGCTGTCCTCTTCAGATAAAGCACGCTAAAGAAACACTGCAAACAGATTTTTTTTATTATGTTACTTCTATGTGTATTTACATTGTGTCTTACCTGGAGGAATAATATATATCTGGGCCAGCAAAGATCTAGGTTGCTTCTTATCTAGGGTTTGTGGACAGTTTATATTTGGCAGTATAATCTCTACCACACAAAAGAAGTGTAGTTTCTGATATGGTGAGAACTCTTTTTTTTTTTTTTTTTTTTTTTTCTTATGCCATGTGGACAAATTTAAGAATTTCCCATATGTCCACTGCTAAAGGTAAGATCAAAGTGCCTTTTTCTTCTGTCCAGCACAGGAAGCCAAATTACAAGGCCACAGACTGAAATTCCTGGGGACCTTCTGTACAAAACAGTTCTCTAACATAAATGTCAGCTTGAAAGCAAGGACCCTATGACTTCAGTGAAAGTCTTATATGACTGGTCGATCTGAAATTCTTTTGGAAGTTCAAATAGTTTTGCTTTTATATATATATATATATATAAAAATATATATATATATATATATATATATATATATATATATCGTCTCGAGCACCTCAAATTTCTCAGTCCAAGCCAATGAGTCCATTTGAAACATTGCAAGAGATGTTGTCTGGTCCCTACGAAGTTCCGAAACATTTTTGCATCATTTAGTGCCTTCATTGAGACAACCCTCAGATAAGCTTCATAATTTGAATGACTACCAGCTTATCACAACTGCATCTTTTTACATTCATACTCTGATCTTCACATGTGGAAACAAGAAAAATAAACTCACGGATGAAACAAAACTATGCGCATACATATAAACACCTAGTTACATACACGTAGCCAGACATAATGCCAACATCCTTCATTCAGACAAATAACGTAACAGTTGTAAATCCGAGCTGCAAATCTTTGTGACAGGATAAAAAAAAAGCAAGAAAGAAATATGAATACTTGCATTTGAGTCTCTTTGCTCTCCAATTGCTATCAGACCTTGGGTAAAGTTACTCTGTGTATGTGAGAGTGCATGCACACATGAACACTCATCTATGCACACGTGTCTATACACAGGCATACACTTCTGTATTCTGTACTTCAGTCTTTTGTTTCAGATTTTTTTATGCTTAATTACCATTTCCCCTCACTTGCTTTCTTTTCTCTTCAGCCCACTAAATGCTTCAGTTTCAAGTGTGTGAGAGGCTCAATTTGATTTACAGTGTTAGGAGATTTTAAACAATACATTTCATGCCGCTAGAGGCTTGAAGCAACATCCTGAAGCAACAGGCTATCTTTCCCTAAGCTTAAAAATTAAGATTCACTGGAGTATGAAGGTCAATGGGAGACTCGGGAAAGGGTAAACGGTCTGGTATGATTACACTATGTCTGAACCAAACTGGCTTTCCCAACAAAAATGTGTCAAGTAATACAGACAATTCATAGATATGAATTTCTTCTCTGTGTTTCTGCCAGTGTGATATTTGAAGAATCCTGCCAAAGAGTTCAGTCCCAAACCTTGTGTTTTGTATTAAATAACAGGATTTAATAAGAACTGTTTATAATTTCATGACATCAGAAAAATGTAATAATAACCTATAGAAAAATTCCTCTTTCCCAAGCTCAAATTTTAACATATCCTGAAACACAGAAACAGAACCACAACTGTGACAGAAAGACAACCAGAAGGAAAAGGCCCATCTGCAGCTCCTCCCTGCCCTTCTCTGGGACCATGCACCAAGCCTGTGACCCCTTCCTCTCTGACCTGTTTTCTAAGGACAGTTGAAGAGCACCCAGAGGATGGGTGAGCTACAGACAACAGCATTAATCATCTCTGTAGGTGTCCCTTGAGCCTTCCTTTGTTTTATGACCAGTGGACATCTATGGCCCTCATGAAGCAAGGACACTTGAAAAAGGTTACCCAAAGAGAGACCAGAATGCAAGCTGCTTTGAGGAGCAACTGTGCACTCCAGAGTAAGGGATATACTCATTCCTAGATCTAGCGTTTGTGCAAACCAGTTATAAGCAACAGGAGATGCTAAGCTTATAAAGAGCACTGTGTGCAGTTAAACCAATACTTTTTGGAAGCGTCAGCCCTATTATGAGAATGCAGTAAATGCTGCCATATGCTGCCACAGTGAAGATGATAAGTGGCCTGCTCATCTGACTGCTGGGAACAAATAGGAGAGAAAGTGCCTCATTTAGGTTTTGGTCCAGCGTAACGAAAGGAGTTCAACACACAGGATTAAAATCAATTAAAGGTCAGATCTATTGAACTCAAAGTTGCAATGGAAAGTTTTGACTGATGAGGAGGGACAAGCTTCATTCGGAACATCTGATGAGTTTGGTGTCCCAACTGCCCCTCCTACCACCCCTTCCACAATCGGGTGAGCCATGGAGTCAATCAGCTCCTGAACCACTGCAATTTACCACGCACTCTTTGAAAGCCAGATGAAATTGGTGACGATTTACCATAAAATGCTATGCTGTAAATGGCAGTGTGTCAGGGGCTGACTGACAAGTAGTATAGATATCTGTGAAGCAGAGGCAGGGCTGAAGGCAGTAGCCTCATCTGATGTCCCAAGTGAAGCCATCTTGTCAATCAAATCCTTCACAACAGACCTACATATCAGGATTTCAGCGTACGAAATTCACTGTTGTCGAGAGATATGACAAGCTCTCTGAGTTCATGCAGACTTACTTCAAAATACAGCTAAGTGGGTTGTAAGGAGGATGTATTTGTTGCACTGACCGCTGTGTAGAATTTCAGTCCAAAAGGTCTGTCCTCTACAGAGAGATCTGGTCAGAGATAATGTGTTACCCAAAACCATCTGAACCTCCCACAAATTTATTCTACAAAGGAATGGAAATTAAAGTGAAATGGTTAAAAAAAAAAAAAAAAAAAAAAAAAAAAAAAAAAAACTCACTCTTTTCTACCCTCTCATTGTTTTCCTCTTCACCGGACACATCACTGTTGACTCAATTATGTAATGGGAACAGCAACAACAATAGAAATAGTGGGTATGAAAAAAAATAAGCTGGACGTATGTTTTAATTTATGTTAGCAAAAAGAACAGTCCTATCATAATATTAGCCACATATAGTCTAGTGTTAGCTACCAGACCTTGAAACCTGGGAAAAAAGGCACAAATAGGAAGGTTAAAGCAGTTCTGGCTGAGTGGGGAAATGAGAAGGCCAAATGTACATTAGTCAAAGAAAGAAAAATAATATCCCAGAAAATGAATAAGAGATAACTATCCTCAGAATAATACTATATAAATACATTTGCTGTAGGTCACATAAAAGATTCATGGCACACACATGTACAGGTCAAATTACCTTTAAATATTAAATTTCTTTCCAGCGGGGAAGAATTTCAGATTTATGCTGTTTTCATAAAGAAAAAGGATGCACCCCGTGCATTATTATTTGCTGACAAATGATAGCTTCTGGGTTTGCCTGCAAGATGTGGGTTAGAAACACTCTTTTTCATGATACAAAAAAAAAAAATAGAGGAAAGAAAGAAAGAATGAATCATCACGTAATTCATCTCTTCCCCAAGAAGTTTCTGCTTTCTTTTGGCTCATTAAATCAATATTTTCTTATTATGGAACTATAAAAGTTAGCATTGGAGAACACCTATTAGGTCACTTAGAGTAGTCCATTTCCCTGCTAATGCAGTATGTTTTTTTCCCTGCAGCACATTTTGGGCAGTCCGGTTTTAAAAAGACAAGGTTACACTGTTCCTTGGAGACATGACTCCACACACACCTCACTGTTCAGACATTTTCATATTAGTAGGTCTAAGCAGGGATAACAGAGCCACACACACACAAAAAAAAAAAAATCATGAAAATAAAGTATGAACTTATAGCT